ATGCGCACACATATGATAACATAACATGTCGTCCATCTTTTTGCTGAGAATTTGATTTCCGAATTTCTGATATAAAAAAATATAGACAATTAACAAAACATAAAGGGTCGAAAACATTAAACATTAATTGATTATATATATAGTATAAGTATATGACTCGATTGAGGTATCAAGTAGATCACTTGGTCTGCTTTGTTACTGTCATTTGGACTGTTGAAACTCCATCAACGAACTTTGTCCGGAAAAGAACATTGGCATTGTTGAACATTCCTTCTTTCAGCGAAACCACGATAAACTGTTCAAGAATCGAGCTTTCAATATCTAACCTATACAATTTCTTCACATCAAAGAGAAAACCGCAAAACGGAAACTTAAAAGCAAGTCTTCCATCTAAAATATGGACAATACACTTAACATATAAACCAAAAAAAATATGGACAATACATCAACTAATAAAACTAGTCAAGAAGACAAAAGAGAAATAGAGATGTTCTTGGGGAAATTGAGATCAAAATTGTCGCTTTTAGATGGTGAAATCATTGGTATATGAGGTTGAAAAAATGATATTGCGAGAAGAGAAGATATATTATTCTTTGGAGCTTTTCCTCTGGTGGAAGATTTTTATTTTTATCTCTCTCTCTTTTTCAAATATGTTTATATACACACTAATTCGATGTAAAATCAGATTTGGGAAACCAAAGTATAACATACGAGACAAAGGTAACATAAAATCCGAGAACATTGGGTTTCGACAAGAGCATAAGAGATAAAGGTTTCATCTAAATTTAAAGCTACAAATGATCAAATAAACATGATCATTTCTTAACAAAATGAACTTTGATGGATTGAACTGACAGCTTTCACTATACTGAAAGAGGTGTTGTTCAATCCATATCAAAATTCATTTGATATATCAATCAAAACCCCCTATTGTAGTTGCAAAAACACTAACTGAACAAGAAAATAAATCTTGATTCTAATTCTATTTACAGAAGAATATGAAAAGAAACCTTGAATCCCTAATCTATTTTCAGAAGAACTAAAACCAAATTTTTGAACCAAAATAAAATTGAAGAAATACCAAAAGATATTGTTTTCCTTCACTTAGTTCACCAAATCTGTCAAACCAACGAAAAATGCGCTTCCGATCAAGGCTGTGAGCCAAGCCCACCAAAGAAAAACATGAATCGTTCTGTTTGGTAAATGTATTATACTTACAAACGTATTATATTCATAGATAAGACAAAACTATTTTATTATATGGTCAGGCACAACAAGACCATAGATCATCATAATCATCCTCAGATATAAAAAAGATATAGCAGCAAGAAATGATTCCTTCAAGCACAATCTCCAATCCAATCATGGTTTTTGGAAATGCATTCGATGAATATGATTAACCTTTCTGACAATCAAATAGCTCTTTGAGAAACTCTGAGCCATATAGTTGAAGACAATTTTTCTGTGTAAAACTAAGCAATCAAGAAAACTCCACGATTCATACCTCCAAACAAATGGTAGAAAATCCATGTCTTTCTTGGGTTTGTATAATCAACAAAAGGAGTGGAATCAGTCATATTAACGATTTTTATTTTTTAATAAAAAAGAAAAAACGACGAGAAAAAGAAGAAAAAGCGAGACCGCAAAAAAACATAAATGATTTACTTGTCATCAAATTGAAAACAAGTACTAAATAAATTGTAAACTGTTGGTGTTGGATTCTGCGTATAGCCGGGAATCCTTAACTTATGAACAGTTTGTATAAAGGCAGAGTCGGAGAGTACGACTCGCAGGAATTAATTCGTATAGCAGCCAATTCGGAAATATGACATTCGTATAGCCAACCACGAAACTGGCCCATCTCGTATAAGGCGGCCCAGCTCGGCGGTGAAAGGGAATTGGGCCGAGAGCTAATTCAGGTAACGTACGCAATCACATAAAGGAGAGTTAATGACGAGATTGACGAGGGAGCGTAAAAGGGGGGATTGTAATCTCGTATAAGTAGGGAAAATCGTCCATAGGAAGGGGACATGCTGTAATCTTGAGAGAAGCTATACGCAATAAACATTTTCTTATACGATTCATAGTTCTCTATACGATCTGTGATATTTACGTTGTCTTTTATCTATATTCAACTGTCTCCAAATCATTCATACTTTTCAGTGTGATCTGAATCAATCCAGATTCACGACTCACATTTTGGCGCCGTCTAAGGGGACCGAAGTAGTCTACCAATTTCAGAGTTTGGAATCGTCGTATTCCTGAAAGATGACGGATCAAGTTGATCACGCTAGCGTTCTAACCGAAATCAAGACGATGTTTGCCGATCTGAAATCCGCCGCTGATATGCAAAAAACCTCCAGCGACGCTCTCGTAGCGTGCTTTGATTCGCATGAAGTACAAGTATCCTCCCGCTTGACTAGTTTGGCAACAGCGCAGACAGCGTTGGAAGAACGGGTGAATGCGTTGGGTACCTTGCGGACTGACGCAAATCAACCAGATCCAATTCGTCGGCCCGACTTCCAGTCGGTTGATCCGACTGTTGCCACGGCGAGACCCTCGGGTTCTAATGGAAACTAGAATCCGCGATCAAACGAACACGGTCCAACTGGTTTTATCACGCAGACCGCAGGGTGAATTTGGAACAGGTTCCGGACACGATTTGGATCCTGCGGCGGATGCGCAAAACTTGCCACCTCCACCTCTATTTCCGGAGGGGAATGGTCAGGTTGATCAAAGAAATTCGGTTTGGTGCGAATCAAAAAGCGATCACGGGGTTGATCCCAATACTCCGAATTCGGAGAGGCGACGTATTTTGTCTGGGAGAATTCCGATCGTACCAAGTGGATCGGAATACGAAACTTTGCGCAGGGATCTTGAGAAGACCAATGCAGACCTTCTGATATGACTTCTAAAGTGCACAAAGTTTCGAGCG